CATCCTCAGGAAGAACAGAATCAAGCTTCAGGTTCAAAGCAAGTAAGGATGGTGCCAGAACTTCTTCAAGAGGACTGTTGGGTTTCTCATCTGGGAGCTCATCTTTGGAGCCACTTATTTGTGAATCAGCAAAGAGGTCCTTCAATATGCAATAATGAAGAAACTATATATGACACGCAGTCCAGTGGAGTGGAAAGTCCCAAACTTCAACATAAAATAAAAATAAATAAGAGATAACAAAAATAAACCTGAGTATCATCAATAGGAGCTCGAAATGCTTGCTTGGGTTCCTCATCCACAGCCTGAAGTATATGAGTAACAGTAAATCTCAAGAATGGATTATCATTGACATTTAAATAAAATTAAAACCTAGCTAAGGTGACACATTTAAAGGATGAACACTTATGACCAGAACACTTTGTGATCTATAATGTGATATAGCATTTGACCAAAATGCTTGTGAATTATAACAGATATAGTATTTTTCTTCAGTCCCCCAAATGCTGCTAATCGACTTCCATAAGGAAGCAAGCATCACTAGTTCTATAACCCATAACAAGACAAATAGCTTATTATGGCCTTATGGGTGAGGCAACATCATTTATGAACTCCCAAAAGTATTTAGGTCACACAGTTATCACAATATCTAGCCAAGAATTAACTCTTCGCTAGGGTTGCAGTGTGAACTGAGAAAATACTATGCCTATAGCTTGAATCTTCAGTAAAAGAAGAATCAATACTACATCACAAAATGCAACTCACCATCTGAGGGGAGATAATTTCATGACTTGATGGATGTGCAGCACTGTTAGACGCATCAGTAAAGAAGACACCTAAACTACTCTCCGCATCAGCAGGATGGGGAATAGCTTTTTCACTCACAGCTCTAGGGGACTTCTCGTCTCCTCTATCCTCATTGTGGGCAATTTCAAAACCAGCCTTGACCCCGACCTCTCTTAAAATATCATCATCATCATCATCACCATCATCATCATCATCAATAAAAGAAGTTTTGCTCAATTTGAGAGACCTGACACCAGAAATTTAGGTGAGAAAAAATAAATGGTTAAAATTAAACATAAATAGTGAACAGTGAAACCCAACGCAAAACCTATATAGACAGATCACTCACTTTTTTGAAGCCTCTAACTTCCTTTGCCGAATTTTCTCTAAAACTGAAGATATAGGCTTTTGAACAAGGGGAACAGATTTAAAAGCTGCATCTCTAGTTTCTAAACAGAAAGAAAACAAATTTTATAAGTGTAAATTAAACCATTCAAATAACTAAAGCCGCTGATTAGTGAGTTCCAATGCTACCTCGCAACAGTCTCTGAGACTCAGCACGGAGTTGCTTTAGCTGGTCTCTTCTCTCCTATAAAAATTATAGCAACTAAAAGTTAAAACTCCAAAACATCTTTGGAAAAAATAATCAGCGGTTAGGTTTTACATGAGGATTAGTCGAGATGTTCGTAAGCTAGCAACTGACGACATTAACAAAAATAATAATAATAATTACCGGAAAAATAAAAATAAAATTACCTTAGCAGTTCTTTTTAAGACAACAGTTGATTTAGGCTTTTCATCATCACCAACACTCTTGACTCTCTTCTTTTTATCCTTCTTATCCCCAAATGCATCAGAATGTAGTCGTTTTTTCTCACAATCATCCTCTCTCATATCCTCACTTTCCTTTTCCTTTTCCATTTCCATGACATCAAATTGATCTTGGCTTCTTCCATCAAATTCGTCAGACACAGAATCAAATTTTAAAGTCCTCTTAGCACCAGATACATCTTCCTGCATACTTAAACTATCAGCACCGGAATCCAATCCGTTCTCATCTTCAAAAACCTCCAATCCGGACTGCGATCCAGAATTGGATTCCTCCAAATCTTGGCTAGTTGACTTCTCCAAATCTAGGGTTTCAAGTTCCCCTTCCTTGACACAATGGATATTTGATATCTTGGAATCTAAGGTTTCGAATTCATCTTGGCCAGTTGACGTCTCCAAATCTAGGGTTTGAAGTTTCTCTTGCTCGGAATCTTGGACATTTGATTTATTGAAATTCAGGGCTTCAAATTTAGGTGAATTCTCTACGATCGTTTTAGCTTTCTTCAATCGTTTTAGCTTTCTTTCGGGGACTGGAGAGGAAGGTGCTTCGATGAGCGAAAAAGATTCAAAATCGTCGCTGCCCTCCATCTTTGTTGCTATTTGCCGATGCGAATGGTAAAGTATAAATGAGTATGATGGTATTATCAATTTTACCGGATGCGGAGATTTTAAGGATAGGGATCTTCTTGTGGAAAATGGAATTTTAAGCGGCAAATCTTTTGAAATTTTTGTGGGAAGGCTATCGCCTTTTGTTTCGGAAATGGTGATTCCCGCCAAACTTAGTAGATGTTTTGGTGGGGACTGCTCGTGTAGTGCATCAAACGGCGCTTGCGGAGCATTAGTCATTTTGGCCTAAATTGAATGGACACTCAACTTATTACTAGGCTTGCGATATTTTAGGGTGTGTTTGGTTTAGTATTTTGGATAGAATTTTGAAGATAGTATTAGGTTATTGGATAGGGGAGTATTACGAGGTAAATTTTAAAAATTTATAAAAAAACCCTTAAGTTTACTAATTTAATTAAAGACCCTAACAGATAAAATGATAAAAACACCCCCACCACCTGTAGTGTCAGATTCTGGCCACCACTGTCAGAATCTGGCCGGAAAATTTTGTTACGGCACAAACCGGTCGGATCTGTGCCGTAACACGTCGTTATGGCCTTTTTCGGCCAGATTCATGGTCTGTTATGGACGTCGACGGCCAAAGATGTGGCCGTCGTTTTCGGTCAACGACGGCCATTTCTTTGGCCGTCGGTGAAGGCCACACTGGTGAACTTCCGGCCATTTCTGGTCGAAAGTTAGGCCGTTGTACAGATTCCGGCTATCACCGACAGTGGTTGTTAGAATCTAACAAGTTGGGTTAATAGGGGTGTTTGTGTTAATTTTTAAACTTTTTTTTAAAGGGTATTTAGTGAAATTAATAACCTTATGGAGTCTAAAAATAATTAAAAAAATAGGATAATATTTATGAAATAATGTGTCAAATATTATTTGAAGAATAAGATCTAGAATATAGATAAAAATACTAAGCCAAACATAGCCATTTTATTTTAACTCTTGTATTTTTAAATCATTTTTATCAGATTGCGTAAAATTCTCACCCTCTTCCTGAAACGCAAGAGCCGTTACTGGTATACAAGGAAACAAAGACCATCATAAAGCTAAGGCCCGTAACTTTAAAGTTCCTTGAAAATTGAAATTGGTGTTTGTGCCATCGATTGGGCATACATAATCAATAATGAGCATAAGGTGAAATTCAATAACTCTCACGGACATTCCATCACATTGGCTTTGGGAGTCTGTCGTGTATTTTGGGATGAATAGAAATAAGACAAACAACAGTAACGTTCTCATTTAAGTACAGTTAAGGGACTGAAGTAGTGAGGGCACTCGCTCAAAGTTCACGTCCACGTTAGACAGAGTTTCTTATTCTTTATTATAAAGCACATCTTTCTTATAAATAAAAAATATTTTTTGTTAATTTTAAAATATAAAAAACATAATTTTTATTCAAATCTAATAGACTCTTTAAATTAATAAAAATGTTCTTTATTTTTAAGAAATAGACTTAATAGAAGAGAGAATTAATAAATAAAATACATAAAAACTTATAGTTTATTAATTAAAATTAGAATAGAGAGTGAAATTTAACTCTCTAAATGTGAAAAGTCAAACCCACTCTCTAATTTATATTTTAAAGATAAAGAGTCTATTAAACTCTTGTTTTTATAGATAAACTCTTTATAATAAAGAGTTTGAGTTATATAAAAAGTCATTTGGAGATGTTCTATCACCACAAAATCTAACATCGAACCTCAGGCTCAGTGAGTTTGCAATGGTCCTGCTCCTCAGGTACAAGTCTAGAACATTAGTGTAGGCTTCGAGGAAAAAGAACAAAAACTAACAAATTAATGCATAAACATGAGCACGGATTAAAATTGGAGGTTGACAATCAAACATAAATTATCAACTTCAAGATGACACAGCTTTCATATATCCGGCATTTCCAATCCCATATATCCTTTCTTTCTTCAGAAAAATCAAGGAAATAATTATTGATTCTATCTCCATACAGATTGCATAGCAGCATAACAAATAAAAATGAGCACTGCCAAAAAGTAATATTTGTATTTTGCAACAATAGACTGCATTTATGATTCAATACGAGGAAGTAGCCATGTAACAATGAATTCCATCAAGCTGTCTCTATCAGGGTAAGCAGCTCAAACATAAATAGAGGATGTAATACTGTATAAAATCTCCAGGGGCAAATGAAACAATAGAGATTACTAAAGAATAGGTTACATCTCAAAATTCCATGTGCTCTCGGCACTTAATTTTGGGATTTGTGATTCCTCAGCCAAATTGAGGGCTGCAGTTATCTGGAAGAAATAAAAAATCGAAGTTAAGACATTACTTTATCAGAAACAAGGAAATCAATCTTACAACTTACTAGGCCTTCAAACAGCTGAAAGTAATGTAAAACCACCAGCTAATTAAACAGTTGAAAGTTCAATTCAACACTAAAATGCAGTCTAAAAAACATAAATTAAATTTATGGGATGTGAACATCTATAGTTCCTTCACATCTGAGAGATTACTATTTACCACTTGAATTGCAGGTGAACCCACAGGTGCTAAACATTTGACCAAACCCTACCCCTCTCCATGGAACTAAGAGTGCAATCAGCCATGTATAAACAGCCTGCCTTTAATACCATGACTAACTGTTCCAACTAAACACTAGTACCAAAATCGCCACCACAGCCTGTCATTTTGCCACCAACCTAACCTTGTCAAACATCTGTACCACCAATCATTAGTGATAGCACTTTCACCAGCATCACTCACATCATCAATATCATCACAAATCCAGTGTCAACAATTTCCAAAACTCATCTAAGTAATAGCATTCCCCAACAGAATCCAATTCAACTCCCTAATACAATTTTCATACATCAATGTGTATTGCAAGAAAAACATTCTCCTTATCCTTATTGCTTCCTGATGTCCTCTGGACCATCAAAATCTGGACAGTCCTGGAAGACCTCTCTTAAAAAAGTAACTCCCACACAAAAATACAAAAAAGAAAAAGTCACACAACTCAAAAATCATAAGCCTATAATGACCTGTCAGGGTGTGATTAAGAAACTCCAGACGAGTCGTTTGCTTCAATGACATAAACTTTTATTACACGTTAAAATAAAGTCAACATAAACTCTACAATTAAGTTAATCTTCCATGGTAATAATATGGCCCCATGCAATGTGCCAAAGGACATCTGATTACATGGGAAAACTACCAAAACCAAATCGAAGTTTGCAACAAATCATTAACCACACCACACACACTGTGCACCAGAAATCACCTATACTCTAAGACAAGTGCTATACATGTGATCTGCAATCGATTGCCATTTCATGTCCCAAAACTCATTATATTCATCTGGTCAAATTAAGATCAGACTGTTTGATGTGTAAAATATATAGCAAAAAAGCTCACCTCACAATCAATCAAACACTCGATTTCCAATTAAGAACGCAAAAAGAAAGACCCAACAAACAATTAGAGAAGTAGTAAAACAACAACAATCCATTTACCTTAAAATTTCCATTCAACTTTGAATTCCTTGACCACTCCAACGCCAAAGCCTTGCTTGATGTCTGATAAGAAGCTTTAAACACATCATCGCCATAAACTTTTCGTGACACAGCAAAATCCCATGAATTCTTTGCCAAATCATAACATGGCTCAAACGTAGTCACTCCTCCATGAACATAACTATACTTCAACTTGCAATTCCTCGAACCAAGCATGTGATTAGCTGATACCTTGTTAGCTGAATCAACCACAAGAGTTCCATCTACTATTGTCCGGTTGTCACCTCTACTGTGAATATAAGTGAGATTCAAGGGTTTTTCCGCAACCTTAACCGTGTTCATAAACTGAAATCTAAAATCCTGTTCCACTCCACAATATAAAAAATTGATACAATTAAGAACATTTTGCTCGCCAAGTGAGTTAATAAACAGACAATTCAACCACAAACAGAATAGTCGATATATTTCAAAGTTTCTTCTAATCTTCCTGCAATTTTCTGACTATCAAACAGATGCATGACAAATTATATTTAACATAAATTGTTATCATGAAACCCTAAACTTCCGCATGGTTACAGAGAAAACAATTAGAGAAATGCTTGCACTCCTATAACAACCTCTTCAAGTCTATTGTAATTTTTTTTTTAAAAAAATCAACTTAAATCACTTTTTTACCATTTCTAGGCAACCAAACGAGGCGTTGGTACATAAATTTTCTTTTTATGGTTACCTTTTTAGGGATGTTGTAGTCAATGATGAAGAAGCCGGGTTTTTCGACGGCTAGAACCAAGCCGTTCAAGCTGGGGCCTTTGACAACGGTGGCATCGGTCATAGAGGCTCGGAGCTTGACATCGCCGGCGTTAAGAGCAAGAGTAGCAGCGGCGCTGCTCTTGTCTGTTTCGTACCTGCCCTTCAAAGACGCCTTCATTTCGTGAGAAACTAAGAAAGACAGCGACAG